CAAAGGCAGAATAAAGAAGACTGGTTAAGAGGCTACCTAGAAATGCAGTCAAGATATGATGGTGACTTAGGGGAAATCTTGGTATATATGGGTTTGGTGTATATATATATAGAGAGAGAGAGTAGAACCAACAAGATTTCCTGAAGGAAAAAAAGTAGAATGTGAGATAAAGAGACTGGGAAGATGCAACTGCCTTTATCTGAGATAAATAGACCAATATATAAAGCAGATCTGGAGACAGAGAACATAAGTTCAGTTTTAGACAATCTGAGTTTGAGATGTTTTTTAGACATCTAAGGGAAATACTGAGTAGGTGATCGAACAAGAGTCTGGAGTCTAGGCTAGAGATAGAAGTTTGGGAGTTTCAGTATATAGATGGTATTTAAAGCCATAAAAGTATATAAGATACCAAGTACAGACAGGGGAGAGAAGAGATCCAGAAATGAACCCCGAAGAAGGTTAAAGATTAAGAGGCTGAGGAGATGAAACAGAACAAGGAGACTAAAAAGGAACAGTCAGTGAGGCAGGAGAACATCCATGAGAGTGTGATCTACTGGAAGCCAAGTGAAGCTATTTTACGGAAGGGGAAATGATCAACTGGGTCAGTTGCTGCTATGAAACAGGCAGAGCAGGTTACGTCACCTTATTACAAATGCAGAAATCAAAGCTCAGAGAAAGGTCTCCTAACCCTTAAGGATTCTGCTGGTCTACTTTCATGACCACGAATCATAGTCATTAGGCTGGAAATAGAGTTTTAGTTTTAGGGGCTTTCTTCAACAAGTTAATGGAAACTATGGGTGAATGGAGGAAAACAATAATGAGGGAGATGAAGTCAACAGAGGACAGGAACCTGGGAGGTGTCTGCATATTAAAAGGGTAGAAGAAGAGTTAGAAAAGATTCTTTAAGAAAGACAAAGAACCAGGATGGAATGTCTCTGAAGGCAGGAAAAGATAAAAGCTTTAAGAAGAAATGCTTAGCCAACAGAGCTGAATACTGCACACAATCTATTACTGGTGTTAATAATTGAGTTTTTAAGAGTTGTTTTAGTAGAACATTGGAGATAAAAATCTGATCATAAGGATTATAGACTGGGTGGGTGATGAGAAGAGAAAAAGATAGGCAATTCTTTAAAGAAGTTTGATGATGAAGGAAAGAGACTCAAGGGATAACGAAATGTTTAGTTTTCATTAACTAGAAACCTGAGCATGTCTGCAAGAAAGATACTAGAACTGAGGAACTGAATATTCAAGGCATGGATTCTATGTGTGAAAAAGATCCTATATTCAGCAAAATTGCAAAGACTATAATAAAGAGTTGGGATCAATAACTTAAATGAAAGTTGTGGAAATGTCAATGTAATCCCAAAGGAGAGGATGGATTGAAAAAAAAAAGACACTTCAGAAAGATTAAAAAGTAATAGCACTTTCAGACTGGTCTAATCTTTCATTAAAACATAGGTAAAATCTGTTGTCGGGGGAGAGTGAGCAGAGTCTAAGAAGAACAGATTAAATTTGGAAGAAATATTTTTAGAATTTTAGCTCTTTTGCTGATATGAGTAAGAAAGGAATGGAAAGAAAAAAAGCAAAAAAAATTGAGTTAAAATGAGCTAGTTTTAGCTACCACGTTTGCATTATAATGATCAATATACTTGCTTGTATCCATCTGTAAGGGCCTACTTAGCCAGAGGGAGCCATTTTGTTGTTTACTCAATAAATTTAGATTGACCCTGCCCCTCCCAGAGGAACTTACTTAAAAGCAAGTCCGGAAACTAGTCCCAGGTAACAAAGCCCAAAAACAAGGGTGGGTCAGGCCAGGTGGAGACATCCAATCTGTGAGGCGTGCATACTGTCTCCCTAGCTACTAAGGAGAGTGGGCCCTGCCTTTTGGGTGCCAATTCTGACCAAGGTGATAGGCTAATTCAAATATCTACTAGGGTAAATTGAAATTCAATTGGCCACCCGTGTGTGACCTAGCATGACTGTGCAGTTTTCTCTGTGTGTTACAATCTCATTGGCCACCTGTGTGTGGCCAGGCTCAACCACATGGCCTTTACTCTATAAAAGTTAGTCTGTGAGGCTAGGAGGGGGTTGCCCTCTCTGTAAGAGGCAGCCCCTACCAGTCAGTTTGATTCTCGATGCTTGGCATGAAATAAAGCTTTGCTTGACCTTCGCTTTGTATCAGTCTCGCTCCTTTGATCATGGGCCCATTATTGGGGGACCTAAAACGTCTATGAGATAAATTACACAAGGGCAGAAAATGTTTATCCTGTTTATCACTATATTGCCACGAGCAAATGAACTCAATGAATAGTTCACAAAGAAATGAATATGTCCTGGACACAATCCCTATATTGCCAAAAATTCCTTAATGGCTAGTGTTTGATAATTATGACTGAGAGGTAAAAAAATGTTCTTGGTTGGTATTTGTCTTAGACCTATAAATTAGACTGCTCTTTTAAGTCAAAGACAGAATATGTTCAATAAATTAAAAAGGCATCAGGACAAAAGTTATAGTTTTGGATAAAATGCAGGAATTAAGTTTTCTGGTTATGGTTAGATTAGAGTCTGAGTCTGAACTTCAGGCAATTTTAGTAAGAATTTATCTGGAGTTCTTGGTAAATGAGATATGTTACACAAATAAAGTTTCCAGATATTTGAAATTTAATTCAACTGTTAAGAATCATACTTTTATATATTTATCATTGTGGATGGCAATCTTTTAAAAAATGCATTTCATGTATTCCTGCCATCCAAAACAGAACCGAATAAAAATTATTTAATCTTTTCTTCAATATGTGGAAGTCATCCCTCTGGTATCAATTATTATACACATAAAATTGTGACAGCCTGGGTTACAGGAGAGCTACAAGCCTCTACACTTAGTAGACCTACATGCCTATACTTCTTACTTCCTGTTTCTTCTGTGGACTCTATTTGCTTTTACCAAAGTGCTTGTCCACCTGTTAATTTGTCAGTCTACTCTGGAGTAAACAGGGAAATGTGTTTGTTAAAACCATCTCAAAGTGGATTTATCACTGAACATTCTTTTGTACTATTTAGATTTACCACCATGTGCAAATGGTATTTTTATTAAAGAGGGGAGAGAGACATGTTTCTGTGAATGAGTGTGAAGAGATTTCGAGCGGGGACTTACAGGCTGCCTTCCATCTAATGTGCATGAAGTTTTAGAGCACAGTTCAGTTATTTGTCAACTGAAAGATTGGTCTACTCTTTCATCTATTTCTTTATTATTATTTTGCTTCCTGATTCTCAGCTATGCTTCTTTATTTTTTTAAATTATTAACATATAATGAATTAGTTGTTTCAGGGGTACAGTTCTGTGATTCATCAGTCGTACACAATACATAGCGCTCACCAAAACACATTCCCGCTCCAATGTCCATATCCCAGCCAGAGCGAAAAGTTGCCAAATAAGTAGTTTTAACTAGCTGTATTCCTTAGCCATTAAACTAATTAAAAAAACAAAAAACAAAAAACAATAATAATCCAACCACCAATTTTAACTACTTAGAATTAAGATTCTTAAAAAAATAAGTGAGGAGATCTGGGTGGCTCAGTTGGTTAAGCATCTGCCTTCAGCCCAGGTCATGATCTTGGGGTCCTGGGATTGAGCCCCACATTGGGCTCCTTGTTCAGTGGGGAGCCTGCTTCTCCCTCTCCCTTTGCCTTTTCCCCTTCTCGTGCTTGCTTGCTCGCTCTCTCGAATAAATAAAATCTTTAAAAAAAAAAAAAAGTGAATGTGGATAAGAGGGTTAGTACTGGCAAAGTTTATAATAGTAATAATGGTCAGCGTTTTAATAATATAGTTGATGAATATTTTAAAAAATTTTAACTATAAAAACAAATCCATATATTCATTGAATATACTGGTACAACTTTAAATCTGGCATTATTTGTTTTGCAGAATCGTATCTGCCTGCATAAGTACAGGTACTAAATTGTGCTTCACAACAAAGCAGTATTTCAGCATATTTCTATATTCCTGAATAGAATCCTTGCACATTAAAATCCATTTGATTGCTCTTGAGTATTATGTTTTCACTCAAAATTTACAGCAAATTATTTTTTCTAAAATACTGGAAAAAAACCCCTGAATTTTGAGTTAAAAAAAAGCAGCAAATACTGAATAAAATCTGAAGTGCTCAACAGAACTGAAATGAACCAAATATGTTGCAATAACTTTCACACAAGAATAAAAATCTGAAACGGAAAAAGGGCACAACTGTTATTGCTGACCTAGAATTAAATACTTTAAAAATGAGTGATCTATGATGATCTTTTAAAAAGGAAACTTTGAGAATGCTCAAGTTCTAATGCTAAGCTACTCTTACTGTCTAGAAAAAACTTAAGCATAGCTGTTAAAATTTTTACGCCGATTTTCTGAAATAAGGCAGAAATATATTTTCATTACATACTGTATACTTTCCCCAAAATATCTGAGAAAAAATACAAAAAACTGCCAATGAACCAACCCCCCAATCCAGAGGCCATCTGTTTAAAAACGAGCAATCAAAGTTTCTACTAAAACCTATGCATACATGTTGAATTCAGATCCTTCTGTGTTCTTCTATACAAGGCTGCAACCAGAGAGAATTAACTGTGTTCCACAGCCAACACATAAAAGCTGAATAAGAATCTTGTTCAGAAATTAGAACTCTGGAAATCACTATAAGGTTCACAGGGCACACTCTTTACAGAATGAAAGCTCTAGAATCTCTAGACTATATCTTAATATTTTTCAAAAAGGAAAAACACCTCAGTGTTAATCCAAAACAAAATTATGTTGAGCAAAAATGACAGAGTTTATTTCAATCTCTCAAATACCAAAGAGAGCTCTTAAGAATACAATATGAATAGGTTCATGAACTGGTTCAACATACTTAACTGGTAGTTTTATGAATTACAATGAATGCTGCTGCTTTCTAAAAATGAATGTATCAAAGAGGAAATAACCTCCTTGGCATGCCTGCAGCTATACAACACATTTGTTTCATTGCTTTTAAGCGTCTGTGTGGGAGGCTCTGAATAAGTCAATGAGAGGACTTCAGTCAGAGCAGCACGCAGGTCTACTGAGCAGATCAGATGACATGCTCAGGAAATTAACAAGAAGAGGTAAGTATTTTTACAAATAAATAGATAAATAAATAAATATTTTACAAATAATTAGAATTAATCTAAAGATTTTTTCCCTTTCTTCAGAAAAACTGCTACTGTATCTTTTATTTCTATTCAGTGGCTTAAAAACCAAAATGAAAGTTTTACCAATGTTACAGGAGAGATATTTTATATAGGATTTACAAATTTTATTTACTTGAGAGGAAGAGAGACAGAGAGCACAAGTGGAGAAGCGTGCTGCCTGCTGAGCAGGATGCCCTGACGTGGGGCTCAGTCCCGGGACCTTGGGATCATGACCTAAACCAAAGGCAGCCGCTTAACTGGCTGACCCACGCAGGCACCCCTGGATTTACAGATTTTATGAATTAATGGTTTAACCTTCCTCTTATCTTATCCTCCTTCCCAAGGAAGCTAGGGAGGTTAAAGAAAAAAATGACTACTTAAAACAAAAAAAGAACTGTTTCAAATTTGGCATAAAGTGATAAATTTGGAAAATATTTGTGGCAGTAATAGGCTTTCTCTGAAAGATTATTTTATTAAAAACAATTATTTGGATCCTACTAATACCTATTTTTTTCCTTCTCTCAAACTAAAAGAGTTTTAAAATGTTGCATAAAAATGGCTATTACATCAGTATTAAGATAAACCTGACCAGATAAAACCCAATTACAAATAAGGATTCCTAGCTGGTAAATCATTCATATGGACTTTAGGTGGGCTTGAAGAATTTCTGGGTGGGTAACCAGTGTGTACCAAAAAGTTCTATTCAGAACTATGTAGAGCTTTAATGTTTCTATTCTTCTGTACATATTCTAAGGTAAAGGTAAAAAGACATTCAAGGGTCAGGAAACATCTAGCCTTTTTTTTTTAAATAACCACTGAAAAAATTAATGCATCTCCTGTTTCGTGACCTGAGGCATATCAGGAACACGACTGTGGAAATAGGTTGCATTGTCACAAATGCACAAGGGACCTATTAAGATGGGAAGGGCTACTAAGTTCAAGAGTTTTTTCTGTTTTTTTTTTGCAAATAACAAAATAAAATAATGCAATCTACATATTTTAAATCTGGGGGGAACTCTTTGAACTCACTGGCATTCAAATTCAAACACAAGTCTAGTGCTACAGCAGAGAGAGAGAGAGAGGAGAGAGAAGACAGAGAAAGTAATAAAGTCTTTCTTTCACAGCTATCAGTTTCTTTCTCGAAGCCTTCTGAAATCTGAGCCTCTGCAGAAGACTAAACCCTGGGGCCTTACCTACAGAAATGGACAGAAGCTTGTATACTCTCATTTTCAAGAACCCAAAAATTTTTTTAAAGGAAGGAGTCAACTTTGGCTTTGAGTTTTCAGCCTGGGTACAATGCCTTTAAAAAGCAGATGACCAGCTTAGCTACCGACCATGCAGACCATTGTCCGGAATTGGATCACATCACACAAAAACAGCGAATGGCCTTCTCTTACAGAATATCAGAACAGAGCACAATTCCTGAGCACATTTTGCAGAGCTCCTTTCATCACTTAATCTTTGCTAACTGGTCTGGATTACAGACAGAATCGATACCAGAGGAAATGAAACAGACTGGTGAGCAACAGGGAGATAAACCGCGCTGGGCAGCTCTTCTGATACTCCTGGTGATAATACCCACAATTGGTGGGAACATCCTTGTTATTCTGGCTGTTTCACTGGAGAAAAAGCTGCAGTATGCTACTAATTATTTTCTAATGTCCCTGGCAGTGGCTGATTTGCTGGTTGGATTGTTTGTGATGCCAATTGCCCTCTTGACAATAATGTTTGGTAAGTATTTCACTTTGCTCCTGGCATCAAACCACAGAACTATGATATACTATCAGAGAAATGGATACTCAGTCTTTAAATATGGACTTGGACCATTTAAAGTTAACCGTAGATAAACAGTCCCTCATTTCCATCATTTTCTACCGTTGATAATGAGTTTTAAAGAGCAAAAAATAGTTTCTTAGAAACTATTCTACTCTTTCTCCAGCCGTCTAATAAAAGTCTAATTAGCCATTTAATCATTTAAAAAGTCATCCAAGTTAGCAAGATCCACAGATTCTGCATTCATCGCGTAAAAATTACAGTGAAGAAGAGAAAGACCTATACTTTAACTTTCCCATTATCAATCCTTTTTTTCTCTTGACCAAGCAACAGCAAGGACACTTTTGTGACAGCTGGTTATGTGCTGGGTTATTGATTAATGATAAAATCTTTGAATCACTTAATTCCAATTTGAATCACTAAACACCAATTTAAAATTGGAATTGTTCTACAAGTTGTTATTTTTTTTTTATCATTTGTGTACTTTAGCCTTAAACATAATTCTTAACACATGTGTCATGTTAAGAAAATATTATGCTTAGTTGCTAAAGGAAATGGTCTGGCTCACAGTGTCCTAAGAAATGATTCATCTGTTTAATTTTTATGATTTCTAATGATCCATGTCCTTGATACATGTAAGAAAAATCTGATTCAAAATAAAATTAAATATTAAAAATTTATTAAAAATGAACTATTAAAACAAGTGACCAAAACCTGAGCTATTACAATAATAACTTGATATTAAAATATTAGTTTGTTATAAGAAAAGAGATAATAATATTAAAATGAAAGTTTTCACTTATGTGTATCATCTCTAGTTACAGAATTTGGGTAAATACAAATAATTCTGATAAATTATGAGGGCTTCTGAGAATCAGCATAAAGAAAATACTTAACTTATTCAGTGCTTTGCATAAATTGATATTAGACTCATTAACTGCTTAAGAAAAATGATTATTTGTAGCAGATAGGGCTTTTTGAAATTATGTTTATATGGTGAGGATAAAAATATTTCAGGTTATAGAAGTAAAGTTTATTTAACTAGAATATGTGTTAGAAGGAGACTAAAAACTCCAATTAAAAAAAACCCTCCAATTTAAACTATTATATTTAGGTTTATATGTTACATTTTTAAGTAATTATAGAAAGATACCTAAATTAAGTGTCTGATCCCCCAAATGAGATGGTGACAGGCTAAACTTTCCATTCTAAATTAACATTGAACCAAGGCTTTAACCAAAGCAGTAATAACTAAGGTTCTACAGCTTTAATGGACTCTCTAATCATTAATAATATCTAACTATCCCTTCTTTTATACATTTGTAATTTTTTGAATATTTTAGTACAACATGTAACCATGGGAAGTAATTAAGAAATTTTATTCTAAAGGAGAACCTAAAGGATCTCGATTCCGAAAAAAGTTTGAAAGAAATAAAGTAAATGAGGATAATGTAGAAACATTTATGTATATTTGGATACTTGATTCAAGGCTCTTATCTCCAAACACACAATACTAATTAATCTGTAAAATCATACTCTTTAAATTATGTTTTTGCTAGACATACAGAAAATGTTACAATGCTCATCTTATACTACCATAAAATTTAATTGATATATTATTTTGAATAAATGAGACTGAATGAGTTACACAGAACTGAATTTTAACTCTAAAGTCCATATCAAACATCCACTATTTGTAAATTACTGTGGTAGATACTCAAATTATCAGCTAAATAGTTAAAGAATCTTAAAAAGCTAAGTTTCATAGTATTAAAATGATTAGATAAAAGAGAAAAACAGATAAAAGAGCTAATTCCGTGTAGTCCACAGAAAAATGGGAGGTATCTGCAGCTGACGATGGAGCTTATATTTAGATTTTTGGGACCCAAGATATTCTTGGCAATAAATGGTAGCAGAAAACCCAATATATTTTAACATAAAATATATGGAATGTCTTCCTATTTATGTCCTAAATAACTATGATATGTTTTAACTACATTTCATTCTCTCAAATGCTTGCTAATTTTTAAAAAATAAAATCTTCTGTGGTCCCAAACACTTCTTCTATCAGTAATGAAGCAATACTGGGGGATTAGATTTTTAAAAACTAAACTAACCTGGGTACTTAAACACTACTTAAAAATTACTGCTTTAAATTCATTATTAAAAACATTATTCCATTTCTAAGAGAAAGAATATGAGAAAATGCATGCTCTGCACTCTAAAAAGCTTCAAAAGGATGCATTCATAAATTGGAAACTGCACATACCATAAATTGGGACTTGACTTCAAACACTAAGATTTTTATAGCCCTTCACATGTTAACAAATACAAAGACTTCCTAAATTAATGCAGTTATAAGAATTTTTGGTAACATTAAAGGGGGGAATAGATTTTGTGTATTTTTCTCTCATTATAGGAATCATCTTCCGAACTTCAGACTTTTGTACAAACAAAAGCATCCCTGATTCTGTAAACATAAAACATTAACTACCACTGAGTAGTATGAGTGCTTTTAATTATCTCAGGGAAATTAAATGAAAGTAACAAAAGAAACTTTACATTAGTTAACGTTCTAATAAAATTAAGTTTTGAAAAAAGGAGAGCAGTGAAACTTTAAAAACTGACTCTTACGCTGCGGAGTATGTTATTCAACCAATGATTTACGTAATATTTGATTCTATAATATTGTTTGCTTTTTTTTTTACAGAATTTCTATTTTAGCAAGATTAGGATGACTGGCCTAACATGGTCTCTCAAATGAACTGTGATACCTATGTCAATCTTTCTGCCACTTCTTCCACTCTGGGAGCACTAGACTTAACTTTTGCTTTGTAGGTCTAGTTTTGACTGTCTTGTGTATAATTCCCAAAATCCACGATCATAAGTCAGTGGCTTATAACATAAGGCTTAAAAATGCCTACTTAGAAGGCATTTAGAAATACCTCAATAGGATGTAAAGGAAAATAGAACATCATATGCCAATATAAAAAAGACAGGATGTTCACACTTTATGAACTTCTCTGAACTTTCATTAAATAAATGATTAAAAATGTAAAGGAGAGAATACAGTGTTTGGTCATTCATTGGTCATTACTGGTTTATTTATAACTTAAGTTTTAATCCATGTCTCACAATTAAAGTTGAAACAGTATCTATGCTATAAACTGCAAGAGGCTGTAGAAAATAAAATGGTTGCAAGATAGGGATCTGAAGCAAGACATCCCAGGCACTGAATCCTGAAATAGTCAACTAAGGCCCAGCACATTATAGGCACCAGTAACTGGCAAGTATCAGCAGAATATGAGAAGAGTTTATAAACTTTAAATATGTGATTTAGTTTAGATGTGAATCTGACCAGAGAGGTGAAACAGATGTACAGCAGTAAAAGAAAAAGAAAATCAGTTATTTATGTGGTGAAATGCTGCTCTACCCAATCTTAAATGAGGGACCAAAGCAATTAAAGGCACTTCTTTTTGGAAAGTGGAAATTTAGGGTGCCTGGGTAGCTCAGTCATTAAGCGTCTGCCTTTAGCTCAGGTTCCCTGTGTTGGGCTCCCTGCTTGGCGGGAAGCCTGCTTCTCCCACTCCCACTCCTCCCGCTTGTATTCCCTCTCACACGGTCTCTCTGTCAAATAAATAAATAAAATCTTAAAAAACAAAAACAAACAAAAAAGGAAAGTGGAAATATAAAAAACCAAGAAAAGAAATTTTGTAAGTATTAAATCACTTGAAATGTTGAAAACACTATCATATTAGACATCTAATCCCAGAGTATTTTATATATCCAAATGTAGTGGAAAAATGACAACAAAAACAAAACAGAAGCTTCATAATAAAAACTGAAGCACTGATCTATGTCTTTCTTTCCTGAAAGATAAGAGAAATGTAAGAATTTCTGAGAATAAAAAAATGGGTACTTTGAGAACCCCGTGTCCTTTTTGGCTATGAGGCTATTTAGGGTCTGTCCTACTCTAATAAACTCATGAACTATTTACCTTGGTAAACTCTATAGGCACAGTCCCCTTGGGATAGCTTCAAAAATACAGTCATTTAAAATTCTCAGAAGGCAAATACCTTATGTCTCAGATTTACAGGTTAATTTTAATTATTTTTCTGAATTAATCATATAACTCAGCTTTCCAAACTAAAAACCTGCTGAAAGAGTAAGCAGGTTTCAGATCAAATGAGTGCATCTCACCAAGAAATGGAGTTTCTGGTTAAAAACACTCAGGTGTCTATAGCCATTAAAAAGAAAGCTAAATAAATAAATAAATAGCCAAGCATGCAATGTATATAAGTTATTTATGTTTGCTATTTATATATATACACATACATATAAATATAGAGAGTAAAAGGCATACTTTCATGAAAATTTAAACACATTCTCATACCTTTAAAAAAAAAAGCTTTAAGTTCAGTTGGATACATGCACTCTTACTACAGCAGACAGGAGGACAAACATACTGGTTTTACAGTGATGATAACATTTATTTCTAAGTAGGAGTGTTTTAATGGGTAGGCTAGTTTCTGTCAAACAGTAATAGTAATAGGAACTAACATTTATAGAGTGCTTTCTTATGCCAGACATTGTTCTAAACACTTTACAAGTATTACTGCATTTAATCTTCAAAGCAATCCTATAAAATTGGTATCATCATCATTATCACCATTTTTCAAGAGAGAACAGAAGAATAATAAATAAATGGCAGAGACATGATTTGAACCCTGGAGAATGGACTCCAGAATTCACAGTCTTAACTCACTCTTTTACACTGCTTTCTCAAATGAAATGAGAAATTATGCAACCATAATGGTCATATTTGACAAACAGCCAACATTTACATCTGAAATAACTTTACCTAACAAGTCAGCCATAGAGTTTTCTCTGCGGACGAAGCAGACAGTATTTTTTTTTTTCAGACAATATTTTTTTAAAGTTATATTTCATATTAAATGATACAGAATACTTGGGTCTTAAATAATACTTGTACGAATCTTTGAGATGATAACCATATCTCTTTTCTGAGGAAGATATGAGCCTGGGCCCAAGTCTATGAAGTTGTTGACCCTTGTCTGGAGACAAACAGAAACTGATGTAATTGAATGGCAATTCTAACACCCCTTATGTATGGTGGTATTTGAAGCATGCAAGTCTTCATTTTAAGCAACAAACTTTGTGCTATTAATATTTTTAGATAAATAATGAACTATATATAATCCACAACTCAGTAAGATTGTTATGCTCCTATAATTACTGACCTGTAATTATTTCAGGCATCCACAGAAGTGCCATTATTCAAACTTTACTGAAATTAAATTCCTCTTTAAGATTAATTTGGGAGCAGGTGGGGGAAGAGGTAGGTTTTTCAAAGAAAGTTTGTGCACTTTTTGTGAAACAACAATACTATACAATTTAAAAGTTTTCCTTCTTCTGCCTTAGCTTTTATGAAAAAGACAAGTTCAGAGTCCCAGAATAGCAGTAATTAATTTTTTTTTAAAGATTTTATTTATTTATTTGACAGACAGAGATCACAAGTAGGCAGAGAGGCAGGCAGAGAGAGAAAGAGAGAGAGAGAGAGAGAGAGAGAGAGAGGAGGAAGCAGGCTCCCCGCTGAGCAGAGAGCCCGATGCGGGGCTCGATCCCAGGACCCTGGGATCATGACCTGAGCCGAAGGCAGAGGCTTTAACCCACTGAGCCACCCAGGTGCCCCAGCAGTAATTAATTTAGTTCAAGTACCGGATAACTTATTTCCCTTATATTGACTCTTATATATGTTTTTCTTTCTGTATAAATCTATAACTGGTCCATATGAAATAGTATAGTAAGTTCTTATGGAAGTAAGCTGGACATAATACATTATAACAAATAAATGAAATTATAAATCCTTAAAACAAATTAAAACCCTAGTAAAAATAACAAAGTTTTGGAGTAGTTAATCTACTCCACACCAAAGTAAGAAACTTTTCTGACCCTGAGCCTATCAAATTAATACTAAATGAAAAGATAATTTTAGAAATGAAAGTATCTGGACTAGGGAAAATCCCTTTACAACCTGAGAATGTCTAGAACTGTTTTTAATTTGTATAAATTCTTAGATTACCCAAATCTATGTAGGCAGGCAAGATTTTTTTCTTCTTACTTTATATAAAAGATTTCTATTAATTTAATGCAGTCATATTACTTTTATGTTCATTTCATAAAAAGCCTATTGACTAGTACCTTCATGAAACTTTCAATTATAAAGATTAATAATAAAGTCCATCTCTCTTAATCCTAAACCTGTATCACAGTCTCCTTAAAGAAAATTCCCTATCATGCCTCAGTATTTCTACTATTAGTAGTAAGTACTGACTAAAATAATAAAATTCTAGCAAACTGCATTAATTATAATATCTGCTTCATGCACCCAAATTGGAGTTTATTTTATTTTTTTAAGATTTTACTTATTTATTTGACAGACAGAGACCACAAGTAGGCAGAGAGGCAGACAGGGAGAGAGGAGGAAGCAGGCTCCCTGCCGAGCAGAGTCCGATGTGGGGCTCAATCCCAGGACCCTGGGATCATGACCTGAGCCGAAGACAAAAGCTTTAACCCACTGAGCCACCCAGGCGCCCCAAGACTGTATTTATTTGAGAGAGAGGAAATAGCGAGATAGAGCATGAATTGGGGTGTGTGTGTGAGGGGGTGGGGAGAGGGAGAAGCAGGCTCCCTGCTGAGCAGGGAGCCCAACGAAGGGTTCAAGCTCATGACCTGAGAAGAAGCAGTCCCTTAACCGACTGGGCCACCCAGACGCCCCTGAAAATTTGGAGTTTATAAAATAAATTCATTCTGTTGGAAAGTGAGCCTAACAAGGCTTCATTGGAGCACTAAAGAGCTTTCTCTTTTAGTCCACAATTAGAGTCAAATTGTCTATTTTCCAAAGACTTGTACTTTTTACATGGCTTCCTGCTCATGGCTACTAGATTTATGACTAGAATTTCCCGGATCTTAATTTAAAAACATATAACCCATAATTAGAAAAGCTAAATAGGCAAGTTTAAAACTATGATCAGTATCTCTTGTTATAGTTCTACATTTGAGTATTTTTCTATCTTCTACTCAGTTCTAAATATAGAACGTCAGGACAGTTTAGAACGTAACATCATTTCAAGTAGTTTCCACTGCACAACTCTTTCAATCATATGTGATTATTTTCACTCTACTTGAACTGTGAGTTTACTTAAGCTGAGGTCCGTTGCAGCCTTTCAGTGTCCAAAGTCCTTTTCTACTTATTAACAGAAAATCTGAATACTATGACTAAGAGGGAGAAAAATCTAACTGATTAAGTTTCTCTCTAAAGACAGATTTCTCTGCCATACTTGATTTATGTTGAGAGGTCTCCCATAAAGAGGCATTCTGAGTGCCTATCCTACAACAGTGAATAAATGCTGGTGCATCTTTTAAGACCCAAGATATTATAATGTTCCCCAGAGTCTTCTAAAACACTGCTTTTAAAACATTAATTTGCACGCTTTTGAAAAAAAACATATTCAAATCTATCTCAAAACTCTTTCCCTAAATGACAGGCTTTCATTTATTTATTTATTTATTTTTGGTGTGGGATGTTAACATCTCTCCATCCCCAAGGTTCTTAAATTTAAACAGTTTACAACTGAAGAGTTTCTTGGTGCTCTGAAATCCTAAAATGGTATCTTGGTCTTCCTTCAATTATCCCAATTATCTGTCAAGGTCAAATAATCATGCAAAAACTAGGAAAAATAGTTTATATTTTTCAGTGGACATACAACAATTAAACTATAAAAAGGATTTAGATACTCTCATATATATACGACATTTGTTCTGCAAAGAAGTAATTTGCTTTTATTGCAAGGTCTAAAATCTGTGTGTGTGTGTGTGTGTGTGTGTGTGTGTGTGTGTGTGTCTGTTAGAAATGTGGGTTCTAAATGAAATATTCTAGGGGAAACCCTAAAATAAATTTTAGGTGTTTTGGAACTGCAAATATATATATATACTGGGTGTATGTATAAAATATAACGTATCAACCCGTATGTGTTATAGATACTTGCCTAAGTAAATTTATTGGAAAACTACATAGGATATTCAGTACCATATCCAATACTGAATTTTTTCCAAGTTATTATTTCTCAAATGCTTAAGACTGTATGAGGCATAGAATAAATTTTTTTAATAAGAGTTTGTTACATAAATTAAGTACTATGTTTAATCCTGACACTTGCTTTTTAAAACATAACTCCCCAGTGCCTGGAGTGAATGATGAAATATGGAAGGATAACAATCCATTTTTCTTCAGAATAATCTGAAGTCATTCCTTTTGCAAACTTTATTTAAGAACTACTTCTGTCAAAAAGAAAACTCCTATCATTTCACTTAATTATTTCACCAAATGAGAATTTGCTATAAACAAAGATCATGCTGCTAGTTATTGCTAGAAATGAGCCAAATCCTAGGCTTCACTGAGATTCCCATTCTAATACTCTTTTTTGCCACATCGTATTGCTTCCTCTATATGGTAAAATATTCTTTTTATACAAAAGCAGCTTAAAAATTAATTTTATTTGACTAGCAAGGTTAAGTTGCAGTTGCAACAGTGTGGAAATTTTTAAAAGATCACAAAAGGAACAGACAAAAGAGCAACTACGGTCAAATGAATGCTAAAAATGCTAAACTGCTGATTTTGAAAAAGGGTGTTGTGATTACTATACAAAACAGAAAATGTATTTAAAAGGGACCATTTACAGAAATATATTTATTATTACTGAATCCATTATCTAAAGTTAGACATTTGTGGAGGTTAACTCATAAAATTTTAAATAATTAACAAAAAGTTTAAAAATATGTATCACTTTAAAAAGAAACTGCAAATTGAAGATTGCCATTCATGAGAATATGCTTTTGTTTTGTTTTTCAGAGGCTATGTGGCCCCTCCCACTTGTTCTATGCCCTGCCTGGTTATTTCTTGATGTTCTTTTTTCTACTGCATCCATCATGCATCTCTGTGCCATTTCCGTGGATCGTTACATAGCCATCAAAAAGCCAATCCAGGCCAATCAATATAACTCACGAGCCACAGCACTCATCAAGATTACAGTGGTATGGCTAATTTCAATAGGTATGTGGGGAATGTCAGGGTGTGGGGTGGTATAAATAAACAGCTTTTGGTTTCTTTTGGGTAAGAAATATACCAGGCCAGGTAGGCTGTGAAACTTAGCATAAGAGGTCAAGGCAGACTACTGATATACTGATACACCAACACAAGCTCTTTATGCCATGTCATCATATAAAATCACACTATCAACAACATGTGTGAAAAAGCAAAAAGTTCACGTCCTCAGAAAGAACCATCTTCACAAAGGTTACTGAGATATCTTCCTGCTTTGATTTTGATGTGCAGGAAGACTAAGTCTGAAAACAGGTTTTGTTTTTGTCAATAGATCATTAAGGTCTAGGGAGCATGCAGAATCTCGAAATTAGTATTAAAGTAACAAAAAATTAAAATGCATCTTCAGTCACACTTAAGAAGATAAACAGGAAAAGAGAAACAAGAAAAAAAAAACCAAACACTTTGTATGCACGTACTAAAGACCATAAATTCATCTTGGAAGCCAATATGTGTATAGAATAAAGGCAGTAAGTGTCTACATAAGTGTTCTGGATATATGATTAATTGGAGGTTTTAAGAGAGATGCTAGCGATATTCAGAAATGATTTACATAAGAAAATAGTATTTCTTCTAAACTGCCTTATGCCCTTGTGCCCATCTTTAATGCTCAAAGATAGCTTCTATGATAGAGTATCCTAGCATGAAGTACAGCAGAAATAATTCAGACCTCTTATAAGTTAGTATCAGAAAAGATTCACAACAATTACTATGATGATCATCAATAGTCTGACTAGAAGATTCACTTCTTCCTAGAAAAAAAATCAAAGAGGAAAAAAATCAAGAGAGATCTGGAATGCTAAAGGAAAACCATGAAAAAGACATGATCTCTCTCTAATCAAAATAAGAACACTGGGCAAAAAAAAAAACAAGATAATGAAAGTGACCTTTATGTTCCTGAAACAACAGCAGGGCCAAACCTCTTTTGAAAAGTTTGGAGGTAAAAGTAAGGAGTGTTATTACTCTGGCTTGTGAAGAAATCAGTGCCAAGGAAAAGTCTGTTCAGAATGACAGGTTTGTAAGCAGAGAGATAGGCTAGTTTTGGGGACAGATGCTGATTGACAGAGCAGAAAAGGCCCCCCAAAAGAAGCCAGAGAAAGGGCATGGGAGATAATGGGTAACAGTCACCAAAATTTAAAGTAGAAAGGAGGGAAACTACAGTAGCTCATGCCAGAAGTCCCAATCTTTTTGATAAACTCACCGCAGTAAGGGAGAGATGGGGGAGACAGTGTGAGGTATGTGTGTGTTGGGTTAAGGTGGAGGAAACAGGGCAAAGGCAGGGAGAAAACAGGAGAAATGATCCTTAAGAAGAATTAAAACATTTGAAACCATGAAATATGATCAAGCCAATAAAGAGCCTACTGTTAGAAGTGATCCCAATTAAAGCTGGTTCGCATGAATCCATAAGCAGATCAAATCTCTGTTGCATACCTGTGACATACTAGATATCAAGAATACAAAGATAAATAAAAAAGAGCCTCTATATTCAAGGAAGGCAGATAATAAACAAATTAGACTAATATAAAGATTCCAGATTTACAGCTTTGGAAGGGATCACATCCTTTTTCCTTTTATAGATGAGAAAAGAAACCTAGAGGTTTTATTTTTTAAAAAGATTTTATTTATTTGTTAGAGAGAGAGAGCATTAACAAGCAGGAGGGGAGGAGCAGAGGGAAAGGGAGAAAGAAGCTCCCTGCCCTGACATGGGGCTCAACCCCAGCACCTGGGATCATGACCGATGCTTACCAATTGAGCCACCTAGGTGCCCCAAAATGTAGAGGTTTTAGATAGTTGGCTTAAAGACTATTAACAGCTTTTCAGCACCAAAGGTCACAATCAATGCTGTGTTCATTTCATCACCCTTTGTTTGTAGGACCAGTGACAATTTAGTAACTTTGTAGAAGAAAAAGCAGATGATAGGGTTACTTCAGTTTTTAAATTCTGCAAAATGCTGAAAAGAGCTCGCTTTCTTCTGGACTTAGTTATCCTCAGTAAGACCTGGCAAAAAGTAAGGTATCAAAGAGTAAGGGAATAAGGGTATAAAAAGTACCAGTGAAAACTTATGTTATTGACCACCAATCTGGTTGAAAAGGTAATGTGAGCCTTGAAGGAGGTTAACAGAATGTGAAAATAGAGAAGGATGAATGGACTAGAGGTCAACATAACTGTAAAATGAAGTCCCACAGTAATGAAGAGTAGCAGGGCAAGAAAGGGAAATTTCACACAAAGTTCTTGGTTTTAGATATGGAACAGCTTTAAGAGGGTTTGTGGATGCCTTCAGGAGTGCAAATAATAATAATGAGGGTTGATACACCAGAAACTAATATAATACTGTATGTTAACTACACTGGAAATAAAATTTTAAAAATAATAAAAGATATCAGAATGGAGTTCAACAGACACAAAATGAAGATGTCAGAAGGGTCATCAATAAGGTCAAGTCATGGAAGGTAACAGCAATGGAGTGGTGGAGAGGAAGGCTTTAGCAAGGTGCTGAATCTACTGAGGAAGATGGGCAGAGGTCCTGGAGGTTGGTAGATGACCTGCATGGAGAACAGAGTATTGTAAGCAGATTATCAATAGACTTCAAAAGGGAACGGTTTTGGGGAGAAAAGTGGAAAAATCACTTAGAATTACCAGGGTACAGCAGGGGTCAGCCAACTTTTCCTGTAAACGGCAAGAAAGTAAATATTTTGGGCTTGCAGGCTCTAACGGTACTCAACTCCGCAGCAGGAGAGTAAAAGCAATCATAGACAATTTGTTAACAAATGGGGATGGCTGTGTTCCAATAAAATTTTATTTACAAAAACAGGATGTAGGCCAGATTCAGCCCTCAAGCTGTAATGTGCTGACTTCTAGTAGAACAGTAAGTATAAAGAATCCACTTTCTGGTGGGAGAGTTGAGGAAAAGTAGATAAAGCAGTAGCCTCCCTGTTAGAAAGTATTTGAGGAAAATATTTTCATCAATGGCTCTTCAGTTACCATAAAAAGGCTGTGTACATGATGAAGTACTTTCAAATTCATAAAAAAACAAAACAAAACACAAGGATTCTAGAGATTTCTAAAGATACAGTTAATTCAAACTTCTTTTTAAGAATCTGCTGTTTCAAAGGGAAAGGATTCAGGATAACACTTGTGTACTTGTCTAATAAGCTACTTCATGTGGCAAGATCATATTTAAATACCCTCTCCATGGTATTTAAAGTATTAGAAAATTAGCATGAGATATATTTCTTTCATATCTGTTAGAGGAACTCTCAACCTGAAAATAAATTTCATTTGGAATGTCTTCTTTGCAGAAATGTCTGTTCATGTCTTCTGCCCATTTCTTGATTGGCTTATTTGTTCTTTGGGTGTTGAATTTGATAAGTTCTATCTATGAATTTGATAAGTTGAATTTGATAAGGCTTTTGAATACTACACCTTAATCTGATATGTCATTTGCAAATATCTTCTCCCTTTCTGTCAGACATCCAAGTGGCCAATGGACACACGAAAAAGTGCCCAACATCACTCAGCATCAGGGGAATACAAATCAAAACCACAGTGAGATACCCCCTCACAGCAGTCAGAATGGCTAAAATTTACAAGTCAGGAAATGACAGATGTTGACAAGGATGTGGAGAAACACCTACACTGTTGGTGGGAATGCAAGCTGGTGCAGTCACTCTAGAAAACAGAATGGAGGTTCCTCAAAGTTGAAAATAGAGCTACCTTATGACCCAGCAATCGCACTACTGGGTATTTATCCTAAAGATATAAATGTAGTGATCCGAAGGGGTACATGCATCCCAATGTTTATAGCAACAATGTCCACAACAGCCAAACTATGGAAAGAGTCTAGATGTCCATCAACAGATGAATGGATAAAGAAGATGTGGTATATATATACAATGGAATATTATGTAGCCATCAAAAAACCCGAAATCTTGCCATTTGAAATGACGTGGATGGAACTAGAGGCTATGATGCTGAGCAAAATAAGTCAATCAGAGAAAGACAATTACCATATGATCTCTCTGATATGAGGACATTGAGAGGCAGGGCGGGGGGGCCATGGGGGGAAGGGAAGGAAAAAAATGAAACAAGATGGGACTGGGGAGGGAGACAAACCATATGAGACTTTTTTTCCCCCCATATGAGACTCAATCTCAGGAAACAAACTGAGGGTTGCTAGGGGGTGGGGGGAGACAGGATGACTGGGTTATGGACACTGGGGAGGGTATGTGCTTTGGTGAGTGTTGTGAATTGTGTAAGACTGATGATTTACAGACTTTTACCCCTGAAGCAAATAACACTGTATAAGTTAATAAAAAAGAAAAAAAAAAAGGAAAGTAAATTTCATGATTCATATGATCTCAAATATTTAAGTAGCATTTAAAAAAAAAACAATGAACTCCACTTAGTTTTCCCTAAGTCATCAGAGGAAAAGATTAAGACATTCATAAATTACAAATAATGAAAATGTCTATTAAATCAAACCGTGTAGCCTCAAAGAAAAGAGTCATCTATCTAGAATTAAGATACTGCATGAATGTACTCTGAAGTCTCTTTAAATCAACTACATTGGATATAAAGATAAAGCAAATTCCCTTCTGAACTACTTTTTCTTAACCTGGGATAGATCAACAAACACAAACAGATTATGAGAAATGGAGAATAAATGACATTCTCTTCTATTTTGTAGACATACTACAGCTTTAGGGAAGCTTAAATTATAAACTTGAAATCACTAATCAATCTGTTTAAAAACATCAGGTTTGCTTACTTGGGTCTATTTGTTAAATCTTCCTTTAATTAAATGCTTTGACAGATTCTGCACTGTGTGTACTAGGAATGAAAATCGACTAACCATTAACCACATAAAGTCACTAAGATAAACTCTAAAAGGACCTAATCTAAGAGTCAAAGGTCATAAAATTAACTCAATTTATCTTGTTCCTTCTTCCTTAAAGGCATTGCCATTCCAGTACCCATTAGAGGGATAGAAACTGATGCAGGTAACCCAAGCAACATCACCTGTGTGCTGACAAAGGATCGTTTTGGCAACTTCATGCTCTTTGGCTCACTGGCTGCCTTCTTCACACCTCTGGCAATCATGATTGTCACCTACTTTCTCACTATCCAAGCTTTACAGAAGAAAGCTTACTTGGTCAAAAATAAGCCACCTCAACACCTAACGTGGTTGGCTGTGTCTACAGTCTTCCAAAGTTCCAAAGAAACACCTTGCTCATCACCTGAAAAGGTGGCAATGCTGCATAGTTCCCACAAAGGCAAAACTCTGCCCAACTCAAGTGATAAGATACGAAGGCGAAGAATGTCCACAGTTGGAAAAAAGTCTGTGCAGACCATTTCCAATGAACAGAGAGCCTCTAAGGTTCTAGGAATTGTTTTTTTTCTCTTTTTGCTTATGTGGTGCCCCTTTTTTATTACAAATATTACTTTAGTTTTATGTGATTCCTGCAACCAGACTACTCTCAAAATGCTCCTAGAGGTATTTGTGTGGATAGGCTACGTTTCCTCAGGGGTGAATCCTTTGGTCTACACCCTCTTCAATAAGACATTTCGGAATGCATTTGGCCGATACATCAGCTGCAATTACCGGGCCATAAAATCAGTAAAAACTGTCAGAAAATGTTCCAGCAATATCTACTTCCAAAATCCAAAGGCAGAGAACTCTAAGTTTTTCATGAAACATGGAATGAGAAATGGGATTAATCCTGCCATGTTCCAGAGCCCAATGAGGCTCCACAGTTCAAACATTCAGGCTTCCTCAATCATTCTATTAGATACACTTCTCCTCACAGAATACGAAGGTGACAAAACTGAAGAGCAAGTCAGTTATGTATAGAAGGAATGTCAGTTTTCATCTAATTAATATAACAATGAATAAGGTGATGAAGATGATATAAATGTACCAAGAATTATAAAAGAAGAACTTTATGTCATGTATCAAATCATCTCTTTAAAATAAGAGTTATCTATTAAGATGTACAATTTTCTTTATTTGGACAAAACTACTCCATGAAAAAAATCATTTTGTATAGCTGAAAGCAAAAACAATCCAAAAACAATCTGCTGTCTGGCTAAATGTTAAGGTATTCAAATGAAATAAAATTAAGTAAATCAATAAGTTTCAGTCTTAAAAATAAACAATGTCATTGTAAGAATTTCTTTAGTTCCTAACTGTATGAAAGCTGTGCTAAGAATGAAATAAGACAAAAAAGCATTAACCTCTTTAAAGCCTTAAAAACATAAGGCGTAACATAGAACAACAACAAGAGGAATAGAAGACTAAAAATAAGTGCACAGAATGATCGCATCTGGAGGTAAGCTAATATTGTCATTACAGTCTGGCTCAGTTAAAGGTAGTCATGATATTGCTTTGATCTAGAAACTTGTGATGGAAGGGGTAGGGAGGACAGTTGTTAGGTGCCACACAAAGTAGTAGGATCTCAGAACTAGAGCTATTTGTTAAATGTCTGATACCAGGTATATCTACTCACCAGAAGTGGGTCTAACTTAGAGAACAAGAGGATGCAAATGAAATCACTCCAGCATACCTGAAATTCATTTTGTTCCTTGGAGAACAAGTGCAAACTGGAGACACAGGATCTCAATCCAGGAACCTAAACTTTAATGACCCCATAATGACCCAAAAACTTGGCTGAACTTCTGGCACAACATTTTTTATTCACCCTTTCCTAATTTCACTGTGCACTGCTAGATCTGGGAATAAATCCAAACTGTGTCACCAACTAACTAAATTTATGAAAGATACTTAATTTCTCTGAGCCTCAATTTTCTCAGCTACATAGGGTTCTTAAGAAATGAGTACAGGTGGGTAGTCTGTATTGGTAGCCAATTCTAGTTACAACTGATATTTTATTGTCATGCTATTGCCATAAATGGTGAACAAAATTAGCTGAAGGGTTCTGCAGTGAAGACAGTCCACATCCTAGCTTTTCCTTTTCAGGCTGACCCATTCTTATGTCTCAACCTATTGCACTAGTGCTGTCCCTCTCCAGGTGATTAAGTTTAAGAAAATTACTTCAAGAAATGTGTTGGCTATGGAGAAACTCAGCATAAGTGAACCAGGTATATATTCTCCAAATGGCAGAATCCTTTCCTAAAACATAGTTAGAACATAGACCTTATGGGCTCTGTGTCATCTGCCAGAAAGAGCATACCTTACAAATTTAATCCCGAAATCTCAAAGCTTTAGGCACGGAATTCCCCCCAGCAGTCTAAGATTTTTCAGCAGCATGAAGGATGGCCCAGTTCAGATATGCAAAATAATTCTTTTGTTTTTTTAAAGATTTTATTTATTTATTTGATAGAGAGGGAGACAGCGAAAGAGGGAATACAAGCAGGGGGAGTGGAAGAGGGAGAAGCAGGCTTACTGCTGGGCAGGGAGCCCGATGCAGGGCTTGATCCCAGAACCCTGGGATCATGACCTGAGTCGAAGGCAGAGGCCCAATGACTGAGCCACCCAGGCACCCCTAATTTAATTCTTGAAGTAAAACTTATCTATTTTGGTTCTAGTCTCTAATATGATGAGTTTGACATATATTATTGCCAAGTCACATAAGATTAAGTTTTCTGATGTCACTTTAACAGTATTCCAAACTGCACCTTATATATCTGAAGGCATATATAATTGTTCCAGAAGTCTAAATACTAGAGATGGCACACACACTGCCAAACTCCACCCTGAGACAAACTAGAGTAAACGGACTACCTTCTCACATGCTCTATACTGCTTCCAAATTAGTGTATGTGCTAAAACAAACACATACCTACAAAATTAACTGTAAGACCCTTAAACTAGTCAGCATCAATTCCTGGGGAAAAAAATCTTTGCTTATAGTCTGCTGAGAGATCTTTCTCTAGGTAATGAGAAATATTCTAGTACTTCTAGAAAATGAAATACAGTTCTAATATAAACTATTTCTGAAAAAGTACAACATAGCACAAACTTTTGCCACTTTGATACACAACTGATTCTTCTATTTCACAAGAGTTTTAAGAAATCTATAATTTTAAAGCAAATCTCAGAAGTTAACCACACCAATAGCAACCAAAAGACTAGTTTTAACTTCATAGAAAAAGAGTAGAACTGTATCCCTTTAGAAAAATAATTTTTAAAAAACCTTTCATTTGCTTTTATATTTATCGTTAATTAGCAAAGGGAGAAAACAAAGGTATAGAAAAAGAGTGAAAAGACAAAATTAAAGTAAGGAAATTATAGCATCAAGAACACAGACACAAAGACACTGAGGTAGAATACAGAGAGTATGTATTGAATTGATACAAAATCGTGAGCGGTAATATTGTAAAGATGAATCACACATTTGGTAGTAACTAACTGCTCGGGGTTCCTTCAAATTCTAAGCATCTATGATGGTGCAATGTTTTTTATTCAAGGAACCCATTTCTCTATGGTATAAAAAAGTCTGTGCTGAGAATCTCCCTCACATCTTGCAAGATCCATTCATGTCTGAAAGCATATTAATGTATACATTGAGAAATATCTGGTTTTATATTTTAAGAGCTTAAGTCATAGCAGAGATGACCAGGATTGTCTAATTTTAAGAAAGATCTACATCAGGGGCACCTGGGTGGCTCATGGTTAATGGTATGACTCTTGATTTTGGCTCAGGTCATGATCTCAGGGTCAGGAGATCAAGCCCCACATTGGGCTCTGCAGTCAGCACAGAGTCTGCCTGAGTGTCTTTCCCCTTTTCCCTATGCCCCTCCCCCCACTCATGCTCCCATGCTCTCTCTCTAAAATGAATAAATAAATAAAGTAGAATCTTTTAAAAAAAGTTTGTATCAGATCATTATAGAAACTTAATCTCAACAAGTATGTAAAGACCAATGCTTCTTTTAATTACTTTCTTCACTTTCCTTTCCAATGTCAAGTTAAAATAGTTCATACTATGTTCAGTTCCAACTGAGTTTCAGTTAATGCCAAACACAGTACTATAAAAAGAGTTATAATAGTTATAACTACAGCTATAATAAAATCTCCTACTGGACAGATAACAATGGGCCTAATAATCACCTACTTATTACACAAAAAATGTTCTAGATTCATTTCGCCATGGCAAAAATGTTTTTTTTTAACTTAATTCTCAATATTTATCTTATATATTATGAACAAATAACACAAAAATTTCAGTAGAAAGAAACAGTGAAAATACTGTAACTCCCTGGACTACCTGAGAGTAAAGAAGATAACAGACATGAGAACTGTTAGTTTCCCGCAAGACAATTTCATCTAAGTTGAAGTACAAATACATGTTTACCCACATGTTTTCAGTATTCACGTCCAGTAAGTAGACTTAAAAAGATTTAAAAAGTCATGGTTCAACAGACATTTCTGCAAAGAAGACATCCAAAGGGCCAACAGACACATGAAAAAGTGCTCAACATCATTTAGCATCAGGGAAATACAAATCAAAACTACAGTGAGATACCCCCTTCACACCAGTCAGAATGGCTAAAATTTACAAGTCAGGAAATGACAGATGTTGACAAGGATGTGGAGAAACACCTACACTGTTGGTGGGAATGCAAGCTGGTGCAGCCACTCTAGAAAACAGTATGGAGGTTCCTCAAAGTTGAAAATAGAGCTACCTTATGACCCAGCAATCACACTACTGAGTATTTACCCTAAAGACACAAATGTAGTGATCCGAAGGGGCACATGCACCACAATGTTTATAGCAGCAATGCCCACAACAGCCAAACTGTGGAAAGAGCCTAGATGTCCATCAACAGATGAATGGATAAAGAAGATGTGGTACATATATACCACAGAATACTATGCAGCCATCAAAAAACCCAAAATCTTGTCATTTACAACGACGTGGATGGAACTGGAGGGTATGATGCTGAGCAAAATAAGTCAATCAGAGAAAGACAATTATCATATGATCTCTCTGATATGAGGAATTTGAGAGACAGGCCGGGGGGGAGGGTCGTGGGGGGGGAGGGGAAAGAAATGAAACAAGATGGGACTGGGGAGGGAGACAAACCATAAGAGACTCTTAATCTCAGGAAACAAACTGAGGATTGCTGGGGGTTGGGGAGGGAGGGAGAGGGTGGCTGCATTACGAACACTGGGGAGGGTATGTGCTTTGATGAGTGCTGTGAATTGTGTAAGGCTGATGATTCACAGACCTATACCCCTGAAGCAAATAATATATGTTAATAAAAAAATATATATTATGGTTCAAGAAGGTCAAATGTCTGCAGTTATTTTAAAAGTAATATGTATGGGGCGCCTGGATGGCTCAGTTGGTTAAAGCCTCTGCCTTCGGCTCAGGTCATAATCCCAGGGTCCTGGAATCGAGCCCCACATTGGGCTCTCTGCTCCCTCCTCTCTCTGTGCCTGGCTCTCTGCCTACTTGTGAGCTCTGTCTGTCAAGTAAATAAATAAAATCTTAAAAAAAAAAAAAAAGTAATATGTAACATCTAAAAGGGAAGAAATGGTAAAATGGAGCACATTCTAAGAAAGTAAACGATGGTGCATCAGAAAACAATTACTGTTCTTAAGAGATAGGACAGAAACTTTCCAAATATTAAAGGTAATGAGAAAATTTGAGAATAAAAATGTTCTATGAGAGTTGCTTAGGAAAATAGTACTCTGATGGAAAGGCATGTTGTAGAAAGCATTTGGTCTATAATGAGATCTGTTTTGAATTTCAGTTGTACCATTTAGTCCTATGACAATGAGAAATTTTATTAACTATTTTGGAATTCAATTTCCTTCTTCTTCTTTATTTTTTTTTTCAATTTCCTTCTTTTTTTAAAAAAAATATTTCTAAGCTTCTTCCACCTTTAAAAATTCTCAGTCACAGGAAATGGCACTAATCTAAAATTTTGAGAATTTTGAGAATTTGGTTTCAATTGCTATTCCTAAATTGATTACATTTAATTTTTTTCATCTAGAAATCTATAACTTTCAGACAAAATCATTCCTAAAGTCCAGTTTCTTCTACTTATAAAGAGTCATATTATGAAAAACAGAACTCAGAATGGTCCCTTAGAAATAACAAGTATATAGAACCACTCATTAGCTGGATCTCACTAGTCTAGGTAGTAAAAAAAAAAAAAAAAAAAAAATCTAAGAAAAACCTTTAGACTTTTAAGCAGCTCATGG